ACTGGAAATGTAATCATATGTGGAACAAAGTCCTACTTATCACAATGTGAAGGAATAGTATCCAGTGTAATGATTTTATTTCTCCAGTAAACATACTTAGGTTGTTGTCATTTTTTCCTGGTTGTCTTGTCAGAACTGTTCTTGTGGTAACCCAAGAAAACCAGCACTCCTTAGGAAAACCATTGCAGGAAAAAATGGAGACTTTAAAGTATGTTATTGATGACGGAAGTTACCTGACACACAGCATTTCTCTGCAAATATCATGACTGCCAAAATTAGAGGCAGTACTTTGGCAGAAGAAAACAAATTTAGTTTATTTCTTGAAATATCAGGGGAGCTTTGTTTTTCTTTCCTTACAAAATGCTAGATGAAATGCTATTAGCAAATTTCAGTGCATTAAAGTCCAAACAAAATACAAACATACCCCATATACACATGCGTGCAGGCCCCCTCCCCAACAAACATCACTTTAGAAACAATAGTTACAATGATTAGATGCATTTGTATCTGCTTGCAAAAGCAGATTCTGTTGAGCTTCTTTTTAAGCCCCAGGCCTGCACACCCGTAGTCTGGGATCACATGCATTTTCCACCTTCCATCAACTGTTTCTTGTCTGCCACTGCTTTTCAGTTACTTAAAACTGAAAACTAAAAACTTAGTGGCGGTAACTCTGAATATGTTGTGAGACTGTAAATGGATGCTAATTCAATTTAAAATTGATATTGAAAAAAAATGTAATGTCTTTTTTTATTTAATCCTATTAACCTTTCCCTTTGTTCAGATGTAGTTCCCAGCACAGATGTTGTCCCCAAAGCTTCTGAATCTCGTGTTTAGAGCAGGAATGGGCAACCATGGATTCCAGGACATGATGGTCTCTTTAGGTGGTCCCCCTAACACACATAAGATGTTTTCTAAAATATGGAAAGCTGATGAAATCCAGTGAAGTCACAGATTAAAACAACAAAAGCAGACCTTCCACAACTCCTTCAACATCTCATTCCCATCTCACGTGATGTGGACCTATCCACTATGTGGCTATAAGCACCCCTCATGTTAACAATAACCCTTAACTACCCAATGCCTCCTCTCCCCCCCCCCCCCCCCCCCC